ATCCCTGCATTAAATAAATAAAATGAGGCATGTCCCTTAAGAGTGTGTCCTACAAACAAGTGCACCCAAATCAGTAGGTGCTTTTAGACAAAAAGCTTGTTGTGCTGATGATCAGATGATCTTCTGTAGCAATGGCATCCTCCATTCCTCCCTATATTTTTAATTTCATCTGTGGAATTTTTTTAAAAACCATTGAAATGATGGGAAAGTATGAAAAAGTAGTTGTCGATACCTGGAAATACTGTGAATGAGGCAAACCGATTTCATGATAAAAGCTGGGCTCGAAGCAGCCATCATCAATTGATATTCTGACTCTAGTCTCTGAGGATACACTGTATAATTCATGGTCTACTACACTAAGGAACATTGAATCCTGTTGCCTGCAAGAAGTACTTGCAGATTAAGGCAATTTTCATAATTCTGTTTCCACGTCACACAAAAGAGCATCTAACAACTGTGCAAAGTGATTACCCATTTCAGAGAGAAGCAGTTTTTCAGATTGGTTTTTGGAAAATTTTATCCTTCTGTTCCTAATTTGCTGTAAGCTAATAGTTTGTCAATCCATACAAATGTATTGCTGGAAAGATTATCTGAAAAGAATATGTGTATTTGCCAAAGGTTAATTGTGTGCAGGTAAAAATCCATCTCATCAGAAGTGCAGTTTCTTGCCAATAGGTTTCTGCATAAGACTACTACTTCTTGGAAGTATGAAGTTGCACACACCATTATCAGATTCAGCTCATTGGGCTGATGTTCTTTTTTACAACTGTTATGTTTTGAGTGCTTTAAAGGTGTTGAATCCGTTATTATTTTTGATATGATGACTTTTAAAAAATAGTTTTGTGATTTAATTTACTTGTATCATGTTTTACACTGTATTGTGAATCTCTTTCAGGTCTGCACTGAGAGAACTCCAAGTTCTCCTCCTTAAATAAACCTGTCGTCTGTTTATTTCATTGTATTGATTTTGTCAGGTGTAAGTGCAACTGCAGAATTGCACATTATATTGGTCACTGTGCCCTTCCTCTGTCCCCAAGGAGCCTCCTCTCAGATTTGGAGTATATGGACAACAGTTTAGAAGGAGTTAGAAAATAAAAATCCAAATGGTTCCCATCTTAGCAAAGAAAAAATACTGTTTTGGATAGTGGTTGTTTGCAGGCAACAGAACAGAAGTACAGGCATTAGTCATCATATGATAGTGAAGGCTGTAAATATGTATGTTTACAGTGATACCATATTAAGCTGAAAATATGATATAACTTGAAAAGGCTTAATGGGCCTTGATTTCAGAAAAGCAAAATTACCTGATTTCAGTACAATGACAGTTACAGAATAGCTTTGAGTATTTTTCAGAGATTAAATTTTAAGTTAAAGCTAGGTCACAATAAATGAACATCAACTAAGTTATGAGTTGCACTCCTGACTTTGGAACATGGGTCTCTCTATTGTCTTACAGAAGAAGTTGATGTATCTGTCTAAGCCAACAGAAAAACCTGTGAAAGCATGCCTCTTTCTTCTTCATGAAGCATAAAGCAAAGTTGTAACTCTAATCACGTATGGTGTATCTTCCAGGACATAATTGCAAGTAGTTTGGAAATGTGCCTCTCACTTCCCCTCTCAGTGCAGTATAACCATCTTTTGATTGAAGGGGAGAGTGTCACTTATATTTTTCTTTGGTTCTTGGGCAGTAGATCCTGGTGAATTGCATCTCTTAATATTCCTCACTGTAGCTTACACTTCCAGGACTAATTCTAACTGTAGTCCAACAGTGCCTGAAACACTGTAGGATGGACAACTTCCAGCGGTCTGGGGACTTTAAAGAGCTGCACCTGCTCTGTTGAGGAGAATTCTAGCTCCTCTGATCTCTATACCCCCCCCCCCCCCCCCCCCCCCCCCATGTCTCTAAACAACCAATCAACACAACCATTTTGCATCAGAGAGGGCTTTCCCACAGTACTGGAAATAAACTGGGGGACACAGATTTTGGGAAAGGTTCAGAGTGCTACGGGTGTGGGAAGTCTGTCGGTCAGCACGTATAAGTGGATCTTAAGTCACTGTTCACAAACCCCTGGTCTGGACAATGACTCTCCATTTGCAGGCTCTATATCTGGATCCTGTGCTGGTCTGAAATCCTGTGTCTGGCTCCTTGAAGTGTTAAGACTAATTTTAGGGCCTTCACTACTAAACAGCCACTTGTTCTGAAGCTCCTCAACTTCCTGATGTGTTGATAAGTTCAGGTACAAACTGAGAGTGAAAGATTGCTGCCACCCCATCCCACCTCTATGTGGTTCTTGAACTTCCTGCATCATAAAGTAGCAACAAATTGGTTGGATGTCTGAAACAGTAGGAGTGGCCTTGGCAGTGAAGACAGAAGAGTTATTGCTTCTCCTGGGTGTTCTAATGTCATGATTTCTGTGCTCAGAATGCCCCCTTCCACATTTCTTGGACGGTTCTCTGGAAACATCAGATATCTCAGTAATAAATATGTTAGAGGGGTCAAGGAGATGGTTGCCATCTAGAGCTAGTTTTGGTGGAATTCAACAGTTCTAGTGGTGTGGGTGGATTGAGCTTTTCTGTTTCCACTGTTCTGCCAGAAAGTCAACATTGGATATTGTCTGTTGGCCTTTTTCACATCGGCAACTGTAATCTTTGAACCCATACAGTGTTCAGTGAATTCCCATAAGAAAGCGCTTTCCTAGTATACAGCTCTTGAATGCAAGCTGAAACGCGTGAGGCCTGAGTTACAAAATCTAAGACCACTCAGTTACTCCTACAGTTGCAGATCTTCAGGAATGAAATGGTAGTTTTTTGGATGTTGAACTGCCAGAATTGGTCCCTAATGTTTGCCAGTTATGCTGATGTGAGAGATCAAAAGCAATTCAGGAGTGAAGGGTATATGCAGAGGAAAATAAAATAAAAATATGCCTTGTGTTTTCATAATGTTAAAAATAATGCTTTCCACTGTTCGGGAATAAAAAGCTAGTTGTTATAATAATATACAGTCTGTGGGAGGTGCTTTTATGATTTCTGTCAGTTTACACCCACATCTATAGGGAAAGTTGCCAAAGTAAACAAATTTAAAAGTAAAGCAGAATTTAACAAAAGGTAAAAACTGAATTAGTATTCAATCATTTTGTTATGAAAACCTGCGGAGCAATCAATCTCTCTTTAAGCAGGGTATTTTCGAGAGGAAAAATCTGTTTGTGAAGAGTAGGTTGCAGATGCTAATCAACTCTCCATATTTTGTGTGGGTTTTTACGTTAAACTGAGCATCAGTGTATATCTTAAAATTCCAATAATTATGCTGTATAGAAAGAACTGAGATACAAAGGAGCTTCCATTGAAGGAAGACTTTTTCAGCAAGCCCCCTCCATATTCCCTTCATCACCATTATTTCAGAGGATCTCCCAACCCTGAGTTAAGAGTTATCACATTAATTCTGGAATTAGTCCATTAATTTTTTAAAACCCTGATAAGGAATCCATAATGATATCCAAGTTTTAATTCTACAGTAGAGTCTCGCTTATCCAACATAAATGGGTCGGCAGAACATTGGATAAGCAAAAATGTTGGATAATAAGGAGGGATTGAGGAAAAGCCTATTAAATGTCAAATTACATTATGATTTTACAAATTCAGTACCAAAACATCATATTTTACAACAAATAGAAAAAAACAGTTCAGTACACAGTAACGTTATGTAGTAATTAGTGTATTTACAAATTTAGCACCAAAACATTGCAGTGTATTGAAACAGCTGTGGATCAAGGCTTGAGGCAGATTGCATTGGATAATACATAACGTTGGATGAGCAAAGGTTGGATAAGTGAAACTATTGTATTTGGATGTTTTGCCAAAACATAACGATTTTTTTTGTAATATACATCTGTCTATATTGACCCATATTACATTCAGTCTTTCCTTTTCCATATTCATTTTACCAATGTAAATTGACCAGCATTTGAATGAGTTAGTCAAGTTAATTAGGATTGTTGTTATTGTGTGCCTTATTGTGTGTTTTATTCTTAGGGTTACCATAACTCTAAAGTTTAGGACAAGGTCCAGGTAAATGACCAGCCCACGGGCCTTGGTTTGGGGACCACTGTAGACCTTTCTTTATATTGCACTATAAAGAAAATGGGCAATGTAGTTGATCACTCTAAAGTAAATATTTTGGTTTATTTTATTTTAAAACAACTCTTATGAAAATCATCTCGTTGTCAGAAGAGCAGTTCAGCCATGCATCTAACTTTTATTGGCTGTCCTTGATAAGATTTCATTTCAAGTTTCCTACTGGTTTTTAGAAATAGATACTTTTTCTCTACAGAACAGAAACGGGCCTTTTCCACACCCCTTCCCACTGAGGCCAGGTTCCTATTGGGCGAAATGGCTTGGGGAACAGACCATAATACGAGAGGTTTTATTTTCCTGGTACATAATACACATAGGAACACACTGCCTCTTTCCATGAGTTGATGTACTCTTTTCTCAACGGTGTGTTTGTGCTTGCGGAAAACGGAAAATTGCAGTTTTTCAAAATTTCACTGGTGGCTCTTTTTCTCCACCACCTTTCACTTGAATTAGACTTTCTTCATCTCGTATTCAGAGATCATGTACGAAAAAAGAGAAGCAACTATTCACTGATAAAGTACCTCTGAAAAAGAATAATGCACCCAGTACTGCACTGAGCAGTGAGCAATTTTTTAGTATCTTTGGATGTCTTTCCCGTGCTCTTCTGTGAATTATAAGCCATGGCTGGAAACTGTGCTTTATTAGTAGTGTTATTGATCGTCAACCTGAATAGGTTTTGGTTCACTGGAATAAAATAGAGTGTGATAAAGATTAGAATGAGCAGGTTTGGTCCTGTGGGTAAAATGGCAGAGTCTAGGGATGAAAATTGAACCCAAGGGACAGCGGAAATAGCAGAAACCATGCCTGATATTTGCTCTTTGATCTTTTAGAGGAGCGTTATCATCTCTGATTTTTTTTCTTTCTGACAGCCTCCAAAAGTGAAATGTTTGACTAGAATTTGGCATCCAAACATCACTGAGACAGGGGAAATCTGTTTAAGGTAAGATATTAATTGCATGGCTCACTTTCCTTTTGTTATGTTTACGGTGAAATGCTAGAGAAGAATGATACCCTGCATATGTTGTCTCATTGTCCAGAAATTAAAGGACATCCTTCCTATAGTTTTTTCAAAAAATGTTATTTGTAACAACTTTTTAAAATTCCTATAAATCAATGGATGAGCAAAATATTCTAAAACCTGGGAGGCTTACAGTTGTAAATGTGTCTTACAAGTTTCCTAAATTTATTTATTTATTTATTTATTTATTTATTTGCTGCCTTTGTTGACCGCCGTTCTCAGCCCTAGGGTGACTCACGGCGGTGTACAACATATAAAAACAGTTTACAATAAGGGAATATCGCAACGAAATATCAACATGACTATCACTAATACAATTACAATCACACTAAATCATCCGCGCCGTCTCATCGTAGAATCATAAACCAATCTCGTTATCCATATTCCGTTCCAGTCATCATTGCCAGTTGCTGTAGCACTTAGTCAAACGCCTTCTCAAATAACCATGTCTTTAGGCTCTTGCGGAATGTCATAAGGGAGGGCACCTGTCTGATGTCTACAGGGAGGGAGTTCCACAGCCGGGGGGCCACCACCGAGAAGGCCCTATCCCTCGTCCCCGCCAAGCGTGCCTGTGAGGCAGGTGGGATCGAGAGAAGGACCTCCCCAGACGATCTCAAGGTCCTCGTGGGTTCATAGGCCGAGATGCGGTCAGAAAGGTATTTTGGGCCGGAACCGTTTAGGGCTTTGTAGGCCAACACCAGCACCTTGAATTGGGCCCGGTAGCAGATCGGCAGCCAGTGGAGCTGGAACAACAAGGGCGTTGTGTGCTCCCTGCGTCCCGCCCCTGTTAATAACATGGCTGCCGCGCGCTGGACTAGCTGAAGCTTCCGGGCCGTCTTCAAGGGCAGCCCCACGTAGAGAGCGTTGCAGTAGTCAAGGCGGGATGTGACCAGAGCGTGTACTACCGTGGCCAAGTCAGACTTCCCAAGGTACGGGCGCAGCTGTATTTCATCCTGATAGCCGTAAAAATTTCATCCTGATAGCCGTAAAAATGACAGAAAAACAAGCCTCTAAAGTTCCCCCATTGTCACCAATGGAACAAAACAGTAACGAAACAAAGCAAAACTTCAGAAATTCAGATTAAAAAATAACCCCCTCTCCTCCTAAATTTTCAAAATATTTCCAAAATGAAACAAGGACTATCCGAATTTCAAAACGAAATTCAAAACATTTTGCACACCTCTAATGAACAAGTATACATTATTTCTCTCTCCCTCTCTTTCTCTTTCATTCCCGTTCAGTTACTAGTGAAGATATATCTGGGATCACTGGTTAGGAGGAGGCTTGGTTTCTTCATCTAATGCATTTCTTAATCCCAATAGTGTTTAACATGTGTGTACATTTCACTTTCAGCCTGTTGAGAGAACATTCGATTGATGGGACTGGCTGGGCTCCAACTAGAACCTTAAAGGTAGCCTCAAATCTTGGTTTCCTATCTTGATCTTTGTATAGTCTTGACCAGTTAAAATTGATTTTTTTTTTTATCCAAACCAATTTTTGGCCATATATTTTTTTTATATATATATATCTATCTATCTATCTATCTATCTATCTATCTATCTATCTATCTATCTATCTATATATATATATATATCAATGGGTGCTGACATTTTATAATAGCTTCAAATACGAAAATAACTGGTAAAATAATCATTGGTGAATTACAGCATTTCTTTTTTCTGCCTGGTTCTTTGTAGAAATGATCCATGAGCTGGATTAGGTTATGCCTTCTGAACATAGAGACCTCTTGGATCTTTCATTGGCTTTTTTTCAGTGTTTTGGAGAGGAAGAAATAATATGTATGGTATATTAAAGTCCTTAAAACATGGAGCCCACGGTGTGTGAGAATGGACTTTACTATTGTTTAAGTAGACTTGAACTGTGATCTGTTTTCACTATTTAACCTGAATTCCTATATTACGTCATTATTTATATATGTATGTTAAACTGAGATGATCCTGTTTCTGTCAAATTGCTGTTTCCATGATATCTCCTGTGCCAGTTATATTCCTATCCACCTTATTGAACTACTTAACTTTTTGATCATTTTGTATGTTGGCCTCCTTCCCCCCTCCAAAATTGGTTTCAGTGTAGTTTTCATAAATCTGTTGAAAATAGTGTGGTAGATATATTATTGAATACTATCATTCAGTTGATGGAACAGCAAAGAAGTATGCCTGGAAATGAAAGACATTTATCTGTTCTCCTATTTATTGATTTACTACATTTATATCCTGCCCTTCTCACCCTGAAGACGACTCACAGCAGAGGCACAATTTGATGCCTTGAATACATATAAAAATAAAACAAAATAAACTTTAAAATCACATAATTAAAGCAATATTAAAATAATTACTTAAAATCATACAGTCCAAAAGCATATTCCAGGAACCATTCCAGTTGTCATTGTTCATTAATGTACTGAGAAATTGTTGTTGCACTGGGTATCTTTGTGCAAATGCTTGATCTCACAACCAGAATTTAACAGGAGGGAGGAGGCTGATATAATTTCTCTGGGGAGGGAGTTCCACAGCCAAGGGGCCACCACCGAGAAGCCCCTGTCTCTCGTCCCCATCAGTTGCACCTGCGAGGGGGCCGGGCCTCCCCAGAGCAGGGCCTCCCCAGACTATCTTAACCTCCAAGATGGTTCATATGTTTGAACACATAAGCTATTTCAAATTATTTGGAAGTCAAGCATGCGTTTACTTATTTCACTTCTTTGCCTAGCATGCACAAACATGCATGAACACTGCCTTTGTATAAAATACAAGATGTATTAAATGTTTCTCATTGTAATTCACAACCTTGGTTAAAAGTATAAGATGCATGTAGAAGTTTAAGAGTTTTGACTTCTTTGGCTGAATATGTTTATTTTTCTTTTTTTAGGATGTTGTTTGGGGATTAAACTCTTTATTTACTGTAAGTAACAGTGATTTAAATTGATGACTTTCTTTGATTATCCTCTTGATTATTTGAGTAAACTTGCAAAGTAAACTGGTCAGCTTCCAGGAACGTAGTGTATTGTTGCAGCAAAATCAAAATAGATGTTTGTACTAGTTTTTTCAAAAATTGAACATAAATGATAACTGAGGCATCTCATGAAGTGATCTGTGATTCATGGAAGTGTATCTTTCTAGGGTCCAAGATGATAGTAATTGTTGTAGCCCTTAGGACAGAGATGGGGGAAATTGTAGCCCATGGGTCACTTACTGTTCCCAAAGCCCTATTTTGGCAGTCTCTGAAGTATCCTTAAAAGTACCAGAAGTTTGTTTTTTTAAGTTGGGGTTAGAGGGTGATTTGAGTCTCTTTTGTAAAGAGAAAAGGGGGCTTTGAGAAAGTGGAATATAAATAAAAATAATAAAATAATAATAATTTCCACTCACAAACATTTGCTCTTTATATTTCTTTTTATATCCTTTCCTCATACCTAGAATTTCCTTCCCATCAAAAATGAGAGTACAGTACTGACAACCATGAATCTTGTTTCCAAAAAAACCTGAATTGTGCTTGATTAGAGGCTTCCAGATGGAAGCTTTGATTGCGAATTATTAATCAAGGCTGATTTACTTGTTCTAACAGGAAGTTTATTCTTAGAACTGTACTTAGAGAAGCAAAATCCCATTGGAGATGTGTTGATGATGTCCTCTTTGTCTAAGGGTTTTGGGGGAGAGTTTGCAATAAAGATACAGATGAGATTCCCTCCTATCAATATAACTTCACCACCCATCTCAGCCTCATTCTTGATGCTGTCCTTATAGAGGGCTAGATCATTTTAGTTGTGGTAGTAAGATGGCGGTCCTTGCTCCAAATATTTCTTCCATTCCTCTGGAAATGAAGGAAGTTGAAAATCTTTCTATTTTGCTCCTTAACATTCTATAAGAAGCATCCAGTGAAATATGGAGAACTCAGTATTGAGAGCTTATATGGAGAAAAGCCCCTCCCCCTTTCCGCTTCCCAGATTGCATTTTCTGGGTAATGATGCAAAACTGATTTCTAAGACCCACTGTGTTTCAAAATAAGGTTTTGAAAGACTGCATAAAGCATTGCAGATGAAATCCAATTTAAAGCTTTCCCTGGACTGTAACTGTAAAGCCTAATGTCAGAACACTTTTCTTCTCTCCTTTGCAGCTTGTCAAAAAAATAAAATAAAAGATGTCTCACATATTCTTATTTCTTTTGTAGTTAAGATATCCCATGATTTACAGTGTTTAAATCTAGTCATTTATAAAGTCCTTTGCAAATGATTACCCAAGATTCATCTGCCACCATCCTTTTTCCTTCTCAGTTGCTTCACTTCCCTCCAGGTTTCTGCTTATCTTCCATCTTCTCTCACTTCATCTGAAAGTATTCAGTTGTATGTACATGTATGTGGAATACAAAGCTAGATTGGTACACACATAAGGGCTGCATCCCATATGTAGAACTCCCTCCTGAGGGAAGGCAAACTGGCTCCATCCCTTTTCAGTTTCCAACAGGCAGCTAAGGCCCCTTCTACACTGCCCATTAATCCAGATTATGAAATTCGATAATCTAGATTATCTGCTTTGAACTGGATTATACGATACGAAGATAATCTGGATTTTATATGGCAGTGTAAAAGGGGTCTAGGACAGCATTGTGTCATCTGACTTTTAGCGCTTAAGATTGCTTTTTTCTGTATTGTCTAATTTTTCCATAAGAAAAATTAGATAATTTCCATTTTTAAGAAATAAGTAAACATACTGTGGGATCAAATGTTAGTTATCTATTGCTGGGTATATACTACTTTATTAAATGTAGCAAAGGCAATTAGGAAACAAAGCCCCCAAACAGATCTGGAAAAGATAATTAAGAAATGTGGTCATTGCTAATAGTCAACACGGATTTATCAAAAACAAGTCAAGTCAATGCTTTTTTCGATAGAGTTACAAGCTGGGTAGATGCAGGAAATGCCGTGGATGTATTGTACCTAGATTTCAGTAAGGCCTTCGACAAGGTCCCCCATGGCCTTCTGGCAACCAAATTATTCAAATGTGGGCTAGGCCAAACTACAGTGAGGTGGATCTGTAATTGGTTAAGCGGACAAACCCAGAGGGTGATTCCTCTTCATCCTGGAAAGAAGTGATGAGCGGAGCGCCACAGGGTTCGTCCTGGGCCCAGTCCTATTCAACATCTTTATTAATGACTTAGATGAAGGGCTAGAAGGCATGATCATCAAGTTTGCAGATGACACCAAGTTGGGAGGGATAACCAATACTCCAGAAGACAGGAGCAGAATTCAAAATGATCTTGACAGATTAGAGAGATGGGCCAAAACTAACAAAATGAAGTTCAATGGAGACAAATGCAAGATCCTCCACTTAGGCATTAAAAATGAAATGCAAAAATACAGAATGGGAGACGCATGGCTCGAGAGCAGTACATGTGAAAAAGATATTGGAGCCCTTGTGGACAACAAGTTAAACATGAGCCATCAATGTGATGCGGCAGCAAGAAAAGCTAATGGGGTTTTGGCCTGGATCAATAGCAGTCTAGTATTTAGATCCAGGAAAGTTCATGCTACCCCTCTATTCTACCTTGGTCAGACCACTTCTAGAATACTGTGTCCAATTCTGGGTACTGCAGTTGAAGGGAGATGCACATGCTTGTCAGTGTAGGAAATGCTATTATTTTGCACATTTTGAGTCTTTCTTCCTTGACATCTGCCAAATCTTTTCTTCTTGCCCTGTAGTTACTATAGAGCCATTATCAACAATCATCCAGACTACTCTAATCATACTGAAATTTGTTCCTGTTCGTAGCTCTTCTCTAGTTATTTTCCCCTCTACTATTGCCGCCATCCTTTTAAGTTCCTACATTAGATAACAATCCATCTCATCATCATCAGCCTTTTAAAATTTTTAAATTGCCTTGAACAGGCAGGATTCTTTTAATATGTGTGTTATGGCGACAATTTTTATGTTTGTATTTTGTTTTGTTAATCTTATGGTTATGTTGTTTTTTACTTTGTATGTTTTGTGATGTTACCTGGGAACCGCTCTGAGTCCCCTCGGGGGGATGGAGCGGTATATAAATAAAGTTTTATTATTCAAGTTTTATCATCATCATGGCCAAGTATGATTGTCTTGCAGAGGTAAAATCTTGGCGGTGGATCTCTGTGACTGTGAAGACCTGTTCTGGAATGGTCTTTCACACTGAGGACATAAGATTTCTGGATGGAAGGAAGTCCTCAGTGTGAAAGACAAGGATTTGCCTTCCTCTTGGCACGTTTCTCCCTTTTGCCCTCTATTCATGTATCTTCAAAACCCATAGCACCATTGCACCAACTTCCAATTAGGATGCTTGAGAGCCAGGGCTTCCCAGTTCTCTGTGTTTATACTACTTTTTTTCAAGGTTAGCTTCAAGCCCATCTTCAAATCTTTTTTGCTATCCACCGGTATTCCATTTTTTGTTTGTGAGTTGAAAAATAACAGCTTCCGGAGACAGTGATTGGACATTTGGACAACATGGCCGGCTCAGCATAGAGAATGACCATTTCAGTGCAGGTAGTCTTTGACGTCCTGTCTTCCCAAATGATTTGCTGAAATTTTTTGAAGGCCATGCTGATGGCATCTTTTCAGAATTTGAGACATCTAATAACAGTACACCATATTTCACTGCCCTTTCTTCATCTCCCAGCACATTCTCCAGTAAACATTTGGAAAAGTCCTTTTGAACTTTGAAAGCCGTCATGCCTGACAAGGTACAGAGATTTGTACAATTCAACATGATCTTCAGGCTGATGTATTCAATAATAACTGTATTTGTGCAGGGGCTTAGGTATCAAATGTGAGTCCTGTCATCAGGTCTCACCATGTTTTTACAGGGGAGTGTTTAGAAATATTACTTTCCAGCACTTGAGGGGGCAGAAGGTTTTAACTATTGAAAGTTCAGGTAACATATCTGCTGGCTGTCTATCATTTTGAAAAGTCAGTGATTTGTTTATGTGTAATTCTGAGCTTTTAAATCTATTAGAGAGGTAGATTTTTTTTTCATAAACTATTACCACTTTCTAGAATTTATATCCGGAATTGTATGGCTTTCCAAATAGCATTGTATTAGAATTTCTAGCATTGTTCTCCATTGGCTATGCTGACTAAAGTTGCTGGGATTTTAGTGCAATATCTGCAAAGCTATTTATTTCTAGGGATGTATTTTAAGAAAAGATTTTTAAAACGCTTTATGTGTGCCTTCAGGTCAACTCTGACTTGTGATGACCATCACTGGATCTTCATGTTTGCTTGTTTGTTTGTTGTTGTTTTTTATCCTGTCTTTCACTTGTCATTTCCTTCCTCTGAGGCTAAGACTTTACCCATTGGCTTTTCCTGGTTGAGCAAGGATTTGAATTTTGCATCTTCATCCAAACTCCAACCACTAAATCTGGAGTTAATTGTGGCAGTCGAAATATAACAGTGTGGTTTTAGGTCATTTTAGTGTCAACCACAAAAAATATTTCTGAGAAATTAATTCAAACATTTACCAGATGATCTCTTGTTTCCATAGCAATTATTCCTTTCCCCTTTTCTCTGGAATGATTTCATTAACACATGAACATATCAACTTTCTAGCTGTTTTAATATACTCTTTGTGAAAATAAATAGCAGTTTGTAGTTAGAGTGATGTATTTGAGACTATTGGACCTAGTTTGACTAGAGGTAATCAAGTGAATGGGGCAAAGTTTTCAGTTAGTATACCTAAAATTGAGCGCCTGTTGAGCACTAAAATGATTTCAAATCCTATTACTTTAATAGGATTCATAACAACCTTCTGTGTCTATCTACTGTTAAGTAAGATTCATTGATTTGGGTACAACTCACTTCCTGTGGAGCCCCCAGTGGCGCAGTGGGTTAAACCCCTGTGCCGGCAGGACTGAAGACCGACAGGTCGCAGGTTCGAATCTGGGGAGAGGCGGATGAGCTCCCTCTATCAGCTCCAGCTTCTTATATGGGGACATGAGAGAAGCCTCCCACAAGGATGATAAAATATCAAATCATCCGGGCGTCTCCTGGGCAAGGTCCTTGCAGACAGCCAATTCTCTCACACCAGAAGCAACCTGCAAAAAAACCCCTCACTTCCTGATATATATGTTTCATCTTTATCACAAATAACTATAGCCAGTTGTTTTCTTTGGTGAAGATATTGGATTTATGGCTATATACTGTTTTTTGCATGTGTGGCAGAGTGAAAAAAAGCCTGGTCATTAGCCCGTATCCAGAATATGGCAAAATTAGTTTGGACATGTTTCTCAGATAACAGCTTGTGCACGCACACATATCCCAATAAACTCCATGGGAAATTTCTGTTAAAACAGAACGGAATCAGAAAAAAATTCTTCAAAGATGAGTAAATAAGGGGGACATCTTCTGGGCAGGCTTAAAGTATTCTAAACAAAATCAAAACAAACTCTATCCAGTTACTGCTTCTGAGAGTCTACTGTATGTTTCCAAAATTCAGTCTTGGACCAAATCAGAGGTATCAGCTCACTGTTGTTAAACCATGATTATACTTTGGGCTTGTTCCCTTCCCCTTCCAGTCCTCAGTCTTTCCTAAATTTGAAAAAAATCCAAATAGTGGCATCTATTTAGAATAATTAAATAGGTTTAAAGTTTAGATTTATGCTTTGATTGAATTTGGCATTGGACATTAAAACGATCATTGCAATTAATGAGATTCTCATAGATACTCAAGGCTATCCAGGGGTGTAGATTTCTCACTTTTCCTTCATTAGTGGTTTGCCAAGTCATTGTGTAAATAGCCTCTACTACTTCAGTTTCAGAAGCAACTGTTGTTCAGAAGGAAAGAAGGGAGGCTTACGGAACTGGTGGCCTTGTTCTTTGGATCTTGGTTGCTGTGTCCCATCCTGCTATCATTGTTCACAGGCTTGATAATCACAGCCTGCCTTTCTTTTAAGCCTTGTTTCTTTGTAGGATCTCCTGAATTTTGATGATCCTTTGAATATTGAAGCTGCAGAACATCATTTACGGGACAAGGTGAGTAACAGGATAATGGCAATGTTCCTGTTGCCTTCAACAGGGAATGGTTTTCATGTACCATATAAATAAATAAAAACAGTCTGTACATAATTACAGGTTGATTTTGAGTTGGTTGGCAGTACATTCTGAGGGTTTCAGACCTAAATTCTACTGAGGGATGTCAAGTTAAAAGTTTCTGTGGGAGGCATGAGCTACCATGAGCTGCTTGGCCTTCTGATGAAAGGAAACAAACAAGGACATCTAATCACCTCTCAACAAAAGATTGCTCCAGGCACTGCCAGGCCATCAAATGCTAATCAAGGTGGTCAGTTGAAACATTCACACCTAGCTCCAGCAGACAAAAGTCCTTTGTCCCATCCTGGTCATTCCACAGATATATAAACCCTTTTTCCTAGTTCCAACAGACCTCACTACCTCTGAGGATGCTTGCCATAGATGCTGGCGCAACGTCAGGAGATAATGCCTCTAGACCATGGCCATATAGCCCGAAAAAACCTACAACAACCCAGTGATTCCGGCCATGAAAGCCTTCGACAATATACATCATCATTTTATATGCTTACTTAGTTGTGTATTTTGTGTGTGCTTTTGTGAGCCACCCCAAGTCCCTTCTAGGAGATGGTGGCGGGATATATATTTGTTGTTGTTGTTTCCACTCTAAATCCAGCCACAAAAGTAACTTTCTTCTTATGAAAATTCAACATGCATCAGTACCTCTGGCAGTGTAATACAGTCTTTTTGTCTCTCCTCCCTTGTGTAGGAAGACTTCCGAACTAAAGTTGACGATTACATTAAGCGTTACGCAAGATGATGAAGGGAGCTGGATGACAAGAGCTATGGATTGTATATGCAGCGTTGACTTGAGACGCAACAAACAAAAACACCCTGGAATGTACTCGTCCTGTGTCCATGTTGTTCTGAAGAAGATAAACAAGCTTCATAATCGTCCATGTGAAATGGAGAGTTCACCGTCAATCCAGCAAAAAAAAATGTGTATCTTGGTTGAAAAAAAAAAGTTTCCTTAACTGCTAACGATATTTTATTTTCTGAAATTGTACTGTATATCCAGAGTTGAGATATGCTTGAGACTTTAAAAAAAACAAATCACTATGAAGATTATTTACACATGTTTTTAAAAAAATAATTAATGAGTGGTAAAAAAAACGAGCAGTATGTTTACCGGAACACTTAAAATTGGCAATAAAAGTGTGTTTTGTTTGAGAACTAAGGCACTGAAACGTTTGCCTTTTCCCAAACTGAAGTAAGAATATGCCGTGCACTGAGCAAAGGAAATTGCATAAAGCCAGTTATACCTACGTATTGAAGTTCCTTCTATTTAATTTAAAACCTCTGCTTTTTGTTCATCTTTTTGCCTACAGTGTTTTTAGTTTGCATTGATTGTGCAAAGCACTTACTGAAACAAAGGCTGTTTCTGTAACCTACTTCCAAGTGGTGTATTGCTTTTGTTTTAAAAAAAACCCACACACTTTTAAATGCAAGTGCAAAGAAAGGGAATGTCATTTTTAAACAATGCCTCTTCAACGTTTCAATTCTGTGGAAGTTGACATTACAGACTGTTACGTCATAGAGTAAACCTGAAGTTTCAAGGAATAAGTGGGGAAACAGCCTGGAGCTCTAGAGGCAGATTTAATGCGCACTGCAATCTTGTTGTGATGCTCTTGGAAGCCAGACCTCCTGTGGCAAAGGTAACATGTATTAAGAGTGGTTTTAAAGCCACTTGGCGATTTGTTTCTTTATCAAATAATGTATATATGAAACTGCAAATTTCATGTTCTGGATTTTGGGGGCGGGCACATGTACCTCAGGAATGCGTTTGAAGCAAATGCCGCAACGTGTGCTTACTATTTTATCCTAATTCTTCCTGACATACATTGATCAAAACGGAGGCCCAGTATTGCTACTGTAATTGGCCAGGGATTCGGTGACAGAGAGAGAGCCATACTCCTATTAACTTTATTTAGAATTCATGCAGCAGATATGACGTGTTTGGATTACCATGACGAATTACCACCAAAGGCAAAGGTGAATAAATGTTTGTATAGTTTCATACATACGGTGTGCATTACATTTCTGCCTTACCTCTCCCCCATGGAAAAAAAATATTTTTAATGCATCTAGTGCTTTTGTCGTTTGTTATTGTGGCACCTTTTCATGATGAAAGCCCTGGCATTTCACTACAATGTTGCAAAGTACTACTCCAACCAGAGAAGTCAGCCATAGCAGAGCACCTGATGAACCAACCTGGACACAGCATTTTATTTGAGAACACAGAAATGCTGGACCACTCTCACAACCTTTTTTTAACAAGAGACCACTTGACCAGGGACCACTCTCCAACATTAGTACCAAAGTGGTTACGAATCAGTTTTTGGTCAGCTTTAGATTCAGTTTGGTTATTTGGGGTGCTGATTTAGAAAATTGCATTAGATAGATCACATCAGATCTAGTTTCTGATACAGAATATATGCCATCCAGTAGTTGCCATCTGCTCACCCACAGGAAACCATCTAGATCAGTGGTTCTCAACCTGGGGTCACCAGATGTTTTTGGCCTACAACTCCCAGAAATCCTAACAGCTGGTAAAGTGGCTGGGATTTCTGGGAGTTGTAGGCCAAAAACATCTGGGGACCCCAGGTTGAGAACCACTGATCTATATAAATAAAAATGTAATGTTCGTTTGTGGTATTCACAGAACTCAAAAACCCCTGGATGAATTGGCACCAAATTTGGACACAAGACACCTAACAACCCAATGCATGTTCTCCACTAAAAAAAAAATGATTTTGTCATTTGGGATTTGTAGTTGCTGGAATTTATAGTTCACCAACAATCAAAGAGCATTCTGAACCCCACCAATGATGCAATTGAACCAAACTTGGTATACAGTTCTCCCATGACTAACAGAAAATACTGGAAGGGTTTGGTGGTCAGTGTCCTTTGGTTTTGGAGTTGTAGTTCACCTACATCCAGAGATCACTTTGGTCTCAAACAATGATGGATCTGGACCACACTTGGCATGAATACTCAATATGCCCAAATGTTAACACTGGTGGAGTTTGGAGAGAATAGAATCTTGACATTTGGGAGTTGTAGTTGCTGGGATTTATAGTTCACCTACAATCACAGAGCATTCTGAACCTCACCAACGATAAAATTGGGCCAAACCTCCCACACTGAACCCCCATGTGGGCCACAGCAATGCGTGGCAGGGGACAGCTAGTATTTAATAATCTAGAGTTGATGTGGTAGTAATCTTTCGTGGGTACCCAGCCTCTCCTCTCCTGACATCCCTGTTGCCTTGGCACTATGAGAGGTGGGTTGTTGTAGGTTTTTCCGGGCTATATGGCCATGTTCTGGAGGCAATTTTTCTCCTGACGTTTCGCCTGCATCTATGGCAAGCGTCCTCAGAGGGAGTGAGGTCACCTCACTCCCTCTAAGAATGCTTGCCATAGATGCAGGCAAAACGTCAGGAGAAAAATTGCCTCCAGAACATGGCCATATAGCCCGGAAAAACCTACAACAACCCAGTGATCCCGGCCATGAAAGCCTTCAACAATACTATGAGAGGTTTCGCAGGACTAGTCGCTCTCGTTGTCACATGCTTTCAAGGCAACGGTGTAGTTATGGTGAGGCTGTGGACCATCTTTTTGTTCTTGTGGACCAGTGGTGGTCCATAGACCACAGGTTGGGAACCATTGTTCTAAACACATACCATTTTCCTCTGTTTACTGCAGTTTTATTCTTCCTGTTTTCCTAAAATACTAATGTATCTTATAGTACAGATACTTGCGCTTCCCTTTTTAATGCTACAAATGATTTAATTATATATATTTTTATAAAGCCAAGGTGATGATGAACCCACATTAGTACACATCACCTAAGTAAGTAAGTTTTCTGAAAATCTGGATTCCTGTGATCCACTGAAGAGTTTAGGAGAAGATCCATTAAAATCATGGGGATTACTTCAAGTCTTAAGTATGGATGAAAACAAAGCTATTTATGCTTTTAAATTTTATGAATATGGTGTTGTTTTACATGCTTAACAAGTGAATCCAGCTGTCATTTACAGAAGTCACCTAGGGAATTATTTCATCTTGGTTTAAATGTTTCTATAATGTGTTGTTTGAATTTCATTCTCCCTATTTATCTTTAAAACTGCAAAAAAAAAAACCTCCTTCCATTGTAAAATGAGAATGCCGTTTTGATTTTTCTTTTCCCCCCAAGTCATTCTAATTTTGTTTACAGACTCATTTACAAAGGCAAAAGTTTCATGTTTTTTCAAGCTCCCACTCAGGGTTTGGTACGCTGTTGAAAAAGCATTTTGTTATTATCATGCCTTGTGGGATAACAGGAGAAGCATACATTTGTGGCTTTGATAAAGAACGCTTCAACAAATTCCCAAAGAATATTCAAACTCAGAAATAATTGCTGTTATCCCAGGTACGCAAAGCATCATTCAGTTAGAACCTGTGAAGAAAAATCATTTAAAATTTCACAGTGCCATTGCATCTTTAAATACAATACATTATTCAGTTTCCTACTGGTAGTGAAAGATTAATTATAGGTCTCTTGTTTTTCATGTACTTCAGATTGGTTATACAATGTTCCTGACAACCCAGCCTTTTCAAATACAAGATCAGCCTTAAGAAAGCATAGCCTATCTCCCTCTTCTTTGCCAGAAATGTCTATCTTATTCCACATACTTACTTCTTGGGAGGAGAGCAATGGCCAATCTTGATAAAATAGCTAAAAGTAGAGACATAATAATAATATTAATAGTAACACTTTATTTGTACCCCGCTACCATCTCCCCAAGGGACTCGGTGCGGCTTACATGAGGCCGATCCCAAATACAACAATACAAGCAATAATAACAACAATACAAGCAATTAAAATAAAAAAGCATAGACAATAAAATATGCAACAATTAACAATAAGACAACACACAATTAAAAACAGTGGGAAGGCCAAATGTAAAGTTAAAATTGGAAATGATGCCGGGACATGGGCGAAAAGGTGAAAGTAGTGTTTGCGGAGGACAAAGTGCTATGGGATCATTATTCTGGGAAGGCACACTGGAACAACCGTGTCTTCAAACTCCTCCTAAAGACTGCCAGAGTTGGGGCCTGCCTGATGTCCTTAGGGAGTGAGTTCCAGAGTCGAGGGGCCACCACCAAAAAGGCCCTCTCTCTCGTCCCCACCAATTGTGCCTGTGATGCAGGTGGGATCGAGAGCAGGGCCTCTCCAGATGATCGAAGAGATCGTGTGGGTTCATATACAGAGATGCGGTCACGCAGGTAGGCGGGTCCCAAACCGTTCAGGGCTTTGTAGGTAAGAACCTGCACCTTGCATTGGGTCTGGAAAATGAATGGCAGCCAGTGGAGCTCCTTGAACAGGAGGGTTGACTGCTCCCTGTAAGGAGCCCCAGTTAACAACCTGGCTGCCGCCCGTTGGACCATCTGGAATTTCCGAGCCGTTCTCAAGGGCAGCCCCACATAGAGTGCATTGCAGTAATCCAGTCTAGAGGTGACTAAGGCATGGACCACCTTGGCCAGATCTGTCTTCCCGAGGTACGGTCGCAGTTGGCGCACGAGTCTTAGTTGTGCAAGGGCCCTCCCGGCCACCACCGACACCTGAGCCTCAAACGTAAGTGAAGAATCCAGGAGGACCCCCAAACTGCGGACCTGTGACTTCAGGGTGAGTGCAACCCCGTCCAGCTTAGGATGCCACCCTATACCCCGGTCTGGTTTACGATCGACCAGGAGGACCTGTCTTGTCGGGATTAATCTTCAATGAAGATCCACATAGTTAAAGCAATGGCATTCCTCATAGTCACCTATGGATGTGAGAGCTGGACATAGGGAAGGCTGAACGAAGGAAGATAGATGCTTTTGAACTGTGGTGTTGGAGGAAGGTTCTGAGAATACCTTGGACCACAAGAAGATACAACCAGTCCATACTTCAAGAAATAAAGCCTGACTGCTCATTGGAAGGAAGAATAGTAGAGGCCAAGATGAAGTACTTTGGCCACATCATGAGAAGAAAGGAAAGCTTAGAGAAGACAATGATGCCAGGGAAAATGGAAGGAAAAAGGAAGAGGGGGCCAACCAAGGGCAAGAGGGATGGTTGGTATCCATGAAGTGACTGGATTGACCTTGAAGGAGCTGGGGACCGACAGAGAGCTCTGGCGTGGACTGGTCCATGAAGTCACAAAGAGTCTGAAACGACTGAACGAATGAACAACAACAACATTCCACATCATCTTAATTTAGCCATGTATTTCTGTCAGTGATAATCAGAGTGGTAAGACCAGATTAGTTCTGCAAAAGATTTCACAGAGATGCATGTCTTACCCCCAAAAGCATCATATATTCTGTAGCTGAGCTAGAAAGAGGTAGTGGTTTGAGTGTGGGGCTATGAGGAGGGATGGGTAATAAATAAAATTATTATTACTCTGGAGACCTGGATTCGGGTCCCCGCTTCAAAAGCAACCCCCACAAACAAATCTTGTCAAGAAACAGAAACAACCTAAAGACACACAACAACAACATGGAACTATAAATCAAACTGTCTGATCAGCAGACTGGAGGAGGGCCAATGTGGTCCCAATCTTCAAGAAGGGAAAAAAGGATGACCCAAACAACTACCGTCCGGTCAGCCTCACGTCGATACCAGGCAAGATTCTGGAAAAGTTATTTAAGGAAGTGGTCTGCAAACACTTAGAAACAAATGCGGTCATCGCTAATAGTCAACATGGATTTATCAAAAACAAGTCATGCCAGACGAATCTGATCTCTTTCTTCGATAGAGCTACAAGCTGGGTAGATGCGGGGAATGCCGTGGATGTAGCGTACCTGGATTTCAGTAAGGCCTTCGACAAGGTCCCCCATGACCTTCTGGCAAGGAAACTAGTCCAATGTGGGCTAGGCAAAACTACGGTGAGGTGGATCTGAAATTGGTTAAGTGGACGAACACCAGAGGGTGCTCACCAATGCTTCCTCTTCATCTTGGAAAGAAGTGACGTGGAGTGCCGCAGGGTTCCGTCCTGG